CCCCAAAACCCCAAAACCCCAAAACCCCAAAACCCCAAAACCCCAGACAATAATTGTAAGTGCTTCTAAGAATATTAAATTAAAATAGTAAATCAAATGTATAAATCGAATAAGTCCTTTTACTATCAAAGGTATCTTATCAGAATAAATTTACAGTGGCATATGTGGCCTTTATATCAGTATTCTTGAGCTTCACATCTTTGAGCTTCTCATTTTTACTAGTCATTGTATTTATCTACTTAGCATTCTCATTTTTCATCTATTAGTTTTACTTTGTTGAATCTGACTATAATTTTGACTGATGCTTATTTTACTGCTATTTTGTTGTTTAAGATTACTTTTTGTTTGTAAGATCAATTCCGTGAATGCTAGCATTACTTTTACTGCTCATACTTTCAGCTATAGATATTTTTACTGTCTTTAATGGTTTGCTATTGTTGCTCAGGTCTCTATAAGATTGCTAACGATTTTACTCATTTATAATACTCTGGTTATTCTAAAAGATTGAATCCTCTTGAATTGATATGCAACTGATATTCTGATTTTTCTATTCTCCAACCTTTAGTTTCATGTATATTTGCACTTGCTTCATTATAGGACTTTTATCCTCCCTTTGTGGTTTTGTTCCTAACTGCGAAAGACTTCTACCAGTATTGGATAAATTTCTTTAAGATTAATTCTTAGTCATAGCATTATTAGATCTGCTGGTGATTGGATTGCTTTTATCCCTTGCTAATGATCTTTCCTGATTTATATTATCATCTTATATGACTTTAAATATATCATTGCCTTTATTTCTAAGAAATTAAACTCTATTTTTTTCATCAATGACTTTTCTATCACCTTATTTCTTCAGTCCTTATAAATCATCATCAGCCTACTTGTTTAGAATCTTAAATCTCTCTTGTTCATTTGTTAGATAAGACCTCATGGCTTACTCTTTAGATCTAACTATGTTGACTTCTTTTTCTTTATCTCTGTATTGCTATTGCTGAATAAGGAATTAATGACTAAAGTAATCAAATTGATTTTGGTATTCATGAGATTTTTCTATTTATTTCTCTTATACAAGATTAATCTGCATTTCCAGGTCCTTATTTTGATCAAGTAGATTCTATTGTCGTTGTAAGCATTGCTGAATTTCCTATATAAGAAGATCTTCTTGTTTCATTTAATTAACTTTATCATTTCTTAAAGTTTTTAAATGAAGGTGTTTTTCATCTATAATTACTGCAATTTTTTTCTTCTCTGAGATTAGTTAATGAAGAGTTTAAACCTTAGCATCGACAAAGTTATTCAAAGACCCAAGATAACCATCATTAGATTTATTAAAGAAACCTGTTCCTGTTGAGTATAGTGATGTAGTTTAATGATGTTAATTATTTGTTTATTAGGCCCTTGGTGAAATAGATTGATTTTGGTTATGTATATTTTGGACTGAATGTTTCAAGCAACTTTTCTTCCTGTTTTGATCTGTCTATGCGTTATTTTACTAAATAATAAAGTATTATCCTGCTGGTTGTTGATTTAAGCGAGAACTATTAGATGAGAACTCAGGATCTATTTAATCCTCTGAAGTGTCGACAATATTTTCCTCAGCATTAAAATGAGTTATAATTTGACTTTGTGATGATTAAAATCCACGTTTATCATTTTTCGGAGCACAATTCAAGCTGTCAGGAATATCACACTCCTGAATGCATATCAAAGACTTTTTTCCTTCATTTATTTTATCTACTAGTTTCTCCTGTATTTTTGAAATCATCTCAATTTTAGCTTGGAAAAAGGCAGAACTTTACTCCTTCTTAGTTGTTGCGGGAGAATTTTTCTTAGAGCTGTTAGCTGAGGAGGATCTATCACCTTAGATGAAAATTTTGTTATTTCTGTAATTGCTGTGATTACTGTCAGCATTTTTGCCACTCATTTTATTCATACTCTACAGACTGTTTTACACTGACCCAAAATATTCATAGCATTCTTCGTTCAATGAGTCTTGCATAAATGGATTTTAATACATAGAAGAGAGCGTGTTATTGTTTGAAGGATTAACTTGCTTTGAGCTGGTAGTCTAAAAATGCATTTAGTTGGATTTATGAGTGACATTTATTGGAGAGCAATACTTTATTTCACTCTAGGTTGTGAGCAATTTGGCGTTAAATGAGTTTATCTGATTTTTCTATTAACTTGCTTGGGTCCTACTCTAGGTTGAGATATCAGATATTTGCTAATAAATTTTATTCTTGGCCTCAGTTTAAAGGTTTTCCTCATCCTGGACACTTTCCTCTTCAATCGATTATTGCTCATGACTAATTTACCCTCCCTTATTGCTATGCTCTCCAACTGTGTACATATCTTAGAAGCTAGCAGTAAAATAGTGCTGCTATTGGGCTTGTTGATCATCATTTATAATTTCTTCATTCTCATTTTCAAAGAATTGATAGCTGGAATCAAAATTATTGTTGTTATTTTTTAGTTATTTTTGTTGTTTTTAAATCTCCTAAGTCTTATACTTCGATGAGGATGAAACTTTTTTATCCCTATCCACATTTTCAGTTTATTCCACATTGTGAATAGTAGATAACTTTGATTCCTCAGTTCCTTCAATGAGATTAACATGCAAATTAATTGGCTTTGCACCTTAATATTTTGTCATCATGCTTGAGTTAAAATTAATTTATAGTTGTTTGATAGAATATTTCAATATTGACTGATTAATATATTAAACTTTAATTTCTTTAATTAATTTTAGGAATAAAATTATGAGCTATTTTGCTGATCATCTTGCTTGGTAATAGAGAGTCGCTTAGGAATTCAAAGCATCAAGCCAGTATTTACTATACACAACTATTAAAATAATAACAACCTTCTTCTAGATTCTATGAGAGACAGACAGATTTTGGCTTGACACAGACTTTCTAAGGAACTAACCCAGATATGTTTAATTAGTAAGTTTCATTAATAAGTTATCGATTTTCTTATCTTTTATCTTCTAGCAACAGTGTGAATTCAGGTTAAAGAACTGCCAATGATTTCAGAAGAAGCTTTAATCATCCACTTAACCCAGGTATTTCGATAATTCAATTTCATGAGATTATAGGTATGAATGAGCCTGGATCTGTACCTGCATTCAATGGTTCAAAGGGAAATCCAGTAATAACAAAGAAGGATATTTTGAGAGAAAGATCACAAACTGCTTCTGGAAAACAAAACCAAATAGGTTTAAAAGCAGGACTTAATCCTTATCAATATGTACCAAGAAGTAAATAATAGTCAAAGAGATCTAATACCTAAGCTAAGTATGGAGCAGGCCAAAAAGCGTAAAATCAATCATAAATCCCTCAAGGTCAAACTTTGAATGAACCATAAATTCCTAGATTTAACGAAAATCTCGATACTGTGTCCGTTAAAAAGAGTCAAGGACCCAAAAGTATCATTTCAACTTAAAGCAAATAAGTAAATAAACAGCAACCATTGATTGGTGGATCAAGACCTGGAACCTCTGCTAGTAGAGGAAATGGTCAACAGTTCAACAAACAAAAAATACTTGATGCTGTTGAGAAGCTTAGTGAAAAAGACTTGGAAAAGGTCAGCAAAATTTTAGAAGATAACACAGGTGCAGAGGATCAATCGAATTTCCAAGATGAATTGAATGACAGAGTCGATGATTTATAAGAAAACTAGAATGATGGAGGTGCTAATGATAAGGATGAGACTTTAAGTAGAGCATCAAGGTCAAGCAGGTATTCAGCCATCCCTAAGAGCGAGATTTCGAAGCTCAGCAACAAGACATATATTCAACACTTGCAAACTGAACTTGAGGAGGAGAAGCAGGCTAGACTGAAACTCGAAAGAGAATTGGATGAACTTAAGAAGCTAAGCAGCGAGATCAGCAGTCACCTTGGCCTCAATAAAAAGTGATTTGTGAATGAACATTTATGATGATGATGATTTTATATACATTATCTCAATCAAGATCATGTTTCATTGAATATGATCAAAACTTAGTTGATGATAATACCTTATAAGATTAATAGATATTTCTATATTTTCAAACATAAATGACTTATATTGTTAAAGAAGAATGAAGAATATCTTAGCTTATTAAGTTAAAATAAAACATAATTTCATGCCTTTTTGGCACCCCAGAAGCCACCTTTCTCAGCTGGCACTTGACTATTAAAAAGTTTTGATTTTGGAAAATTATTTACTATTTTCTATAGAGTTGATAAGAAGCTGACAGAGCCATGAACAAGTTAACAATCATAAGGTTATAGTTAATGGGTGTAATTTAGGTTCTAATTATACATTTAGAAATGAAAAATCTTACGCATATCTTGACCAGATAAATCCAGTGCAGAAGATAGCTAACTATTGATTTACAGAAATGTTTTCTGCTGGCTTCTTGAAATCTCCAATATTAGCGATTGTAATCATCCATTTAAATGTTGGAGCCCAAAAGAAAACTATTCAAATTGTAATTGAAAGGATAAATATACTGGTAAATGGTCCAGCTGGATGGACTAAGAGTGATCTAATTCCACTTGGCCATGGTACGGAAAGAACTGCTGATTAAATTGCTGGGACTATACCTAATGCCATTTTCTTCTAGGGTAATTTATTATTATTCTTGGTATTTCTTCCCAACTTATAACAAATTATTGAAGGCAATCGGGGTTTTGGGGTTTTGGGGAGATCGGAAGAGCACACGTCTG